AATCTGGGCATATTATGTCTACTTTTATTTTATTCCTCTCAAATTCATAGATCAACATCTTAACGTTGATATTAAATTCATTAAGGAAGCCACCATAGTTTTCGTCATTTCCTTTATTCTTTCAAGTACTTGGGAAAATAAAAATACTTTCAATCTCATCAAAGATCATCTTCAGAAGTGAATTGCTAAGACAAAAAAATTGATGTAATTGATGGTTGTGAAGTTTTTTTTGTAAATGCACATGAAACATTCTCTGTTATAATTATAAATACATATGGATGTGCTCCATTAGAAACAATTTAAAAATTAACTGCTAACAGCTAAAGTTATGTTATCTCAGGTAGGCAACTTATATAAAAGTAATATTTTTTCACCCCTTCAGGAACAATCTGGTTCTTCTCTGATGAAAAAGAATTTTTGTCAGGATCAGCTGCACAACAGCTTGCCTACAATCCATATGATGTTCCTTGTGTCATGAAGACCAAGTTTCCCCAAACTGTGATGGTTTTTGGGTGTGTCTCCATTGAGGGTGATGTCATGCCATCTTATATCTTTGAACAGGGGTTCATGCTCAATTCAAATGACTATATGGAGTTGATGAACATTGTGGTTAAACTTTGGTTGGAGAGGGTGACTGCTGGAAGACCATATGTGTAGCAGCAAGATTTAGCTCTCTGCCACACCTGAGTCAGAAATGGTTGTCAGGTAAATTTTACAATTTCACCAGCCACAACATCTGATTGTAATCCCATGGATTATTATATGTGTGACGCAGTTAAGAAACATACCAACCACTCTGAGTGTAACACCAAGACCCAGCTGATCAACAGGCTTAAGGAGACATTTGAGACTCTCCCTATGAATATTGTGAAGGTCACATGTGTCAGATTCTGGAATCAGATCAAGGCCATGGTAGATGCAGAGGGTGGCTTCTTTGAGTGAATTGTTTTTTGAAGTCATAATTCCAAAGGTCAAAAACCATTCTTACAAGTCCGTCAGAAAACATCAGTGGAGTCATAAATGAAAAAGATAAGAAGTTCACTTTCACAACTCATAATACACAATGGCCTACATCACCCATGAAGAGCCAAGCAATTCTGTCATTCAAAGTACCATTCTTTTATTAGAGATAAGAAAGGTTCTCATTGGTCAAGACTGGTAATAAAGCACAAACAATTACTGTATTACTAAAGTAATTCTGATGTTTTTGTTTTTTTTCAACGGATCACACGAAGAACACACATTCTTTTTTGGGGTAAGACTTGGTTTTCTGTTGCATCATCACAGTAATCATAACACACTGAGGGTCGAATACTGCAAGTGCTGCCAAAGACCAGGGATACTTTCCGAGAAGAACATCAATTCCCCCATTGAAGACTTATTCCTAATTTTTTACAGTAATGCTGAATATATTTAACTACAGAGATAAATTGCTACATCTGGTCTGGTGCTCTTGTTATATATTTAGAGATTCTGATAAAATACAAAGAAGAATCTGCAATGTTATTGGTCCTGACCTGGCATCTTGGCTTCAGTCACTTCCCCACCACCATAACATAGCTTCCCTGTGCCTTTTCTATAAATATTTTTATGATAATTATTCTGATCAACTTTCCACTATGCTACCTAGAATTTATGAATTTAAGTGCAGTACAAGACTGGTGGCAAGGTCTCAACATTTTAAAGATGAAATGGATAGATGTAACCGTAAGTTCTATGCTGACACTTTATTTTTTTTGCACTTCTCACCTGTGGAACTCTCATCCGGCTTCTTGCTTTCCAGTCAACTTTGATCTTCAAAAGTTTTTATACAATGGGAATCATTATTTACTGTCTTCTTGAGTCCTCTTTTATTTTATTTTTTTTTCTTATTCTTTCACAAGCCCCTTGTGTCTTAGTGGCTTTAGTGCCTCACTTGGGGTGAAATGATAAAAAAAGAAAAGAGAAGCAACTTCGCTTGGTGCCATACTGCAAATCTACCATTTTGGATAGCATCAAGAGTCATTGAATAATATTTCTATTTGTTTAATGAATGTGGAGTCTCTCTTAATGTTCAACATTTGAATAAATGTCACCCCCATCCCACCCCATTTATTAAGAAATGAGGGAAATTGTCTCTCAAGTAAACGGAATCAGGAGGTATATTTATGAATATTTTGAAAATTAAGAAACAATTCAAGAACTTGTGGGGAAAATAGAAATGGTTTACCTCACAAACGCCCTCACGTCCGCCTGGCCTGTGGGTTGAGAAAGGAAAGAAAAGATCCAAGATGGCGTCCGTGACTTTTAATATTCACGGTCTCGTGCAGTCATGCAAAGTCGCGTTACACACATGCTAATGAGGTGTGTCTGGGCTCCATAAAAGCAGGTTGCTTGGAGAAATTGGCAGAACGGCATTACACCCGTGTTTGGTGTACACGGCTCTGCGTTGCAGCGTGTCAGACATTTTCAGACGGAAAGAGTTGCGTCCCTTACACTGTTGAAGTCGACTCATTTGCTACAGAACTTTATTTGAATATTCTCCCCGTTTATTTGAGAAGCATAAGTACATAGTTCAACACAAATTGAAGAGAAGAAAAATGACTGAGTTTGAAAAGAAAAGTGTCATTAATGCTGGTAAAGTATTTTTGGTTTTCCCTATATGTTTGTTCAATATGAGATAATTTTTAATGGATGTGATTTATGTGTGATATTTAAGTTTAATCTATAGAAAAAAAAGATTAAGATCTCAAAATAAAAAACAAATATTTTTGGAAGCATCCTTAACAGAGAAAAAGAAAAAACAGACAAAAAAAAAAAAAATTTCAAGGGAAGCTATTATTAATAAAATATCTAGAGTTACCTCCCTTGTCAGGGAGACTAACAAAATAGAAAGTTAATTTCTCTGCTTTGATCGGTTGTTTTGTTTGCCGACTTTTCAACTCCTCATGAGGCATTTAAAAGGGAGACATTCTTATATTTTATAAATTTAAACTGTTGTTTGTTTCTTTTTTTTTTTTTTCCCCTCAATATTTTATCAACTATTTATTTATTTTTTTTAACACAATCTTATGGTTTCAGTTATTTTTCTTTTCCTTCATCAGATGGTATCAACTATTTTGAAAGTGGGCAATGGAAAGATCCAATAGAGGCGGTGAAAAAGAAAAAAGTGGTCAGCCAGAGAGTGGTACATCTGAACCATAACATACACAGTCCCTAAAGTGTATCTTGTCTTTCCCTTTAGAGTGTTTCCCATTTACGTAACAATCTTTAAGAGCAATGCTAAGATACTCATTTGACATCAAATACTACCACTAAGACAATCCAAAGGTTGACTATACATTTAAGGGACCATTATAGTCGTTTTGGTATGCAAGGGAGCAGAAAACCCCAAAAGTTTGGGAACTACTGTCTACATCATGCAAACACTCATCCCTTGCTGTACAATTCTCAACCCATTTTAAAATTCAGTATTTCAGTTGTGTAAGTTCAACTTCCGAACTGTTCTGTTGTGTTCACTCTCACACAAATGCCCTTGAGTAAAACATGCTTCTTTCTCTTCTACCCTGTGTGCTTCATTACGAGGAGTCACTGCAAAGTTCTGCGACAGGTTTAAGAAGAGATTCCAAAATGAATTGATCTTTTGTCATTTGATCAGATTCTGGGAAGGGCGGTTAAGCTGACAACTTTTCAGCACACCCGCCCCTAGTAATATAGCAACAAACCCCCCAAAATTTATGAAGCACTTGCCTTCCAGATGGAAAAAACAACAGTGTGGGGTAGGTGTCTGCAGTGTATTCCCAAGGCAGATCTTCACTTTCTCCATTGATTCTGAAAGAAAACAGAAAAATAAAGCCACAATTAACAAAACCATATTAATAAATGGTTAGAAATTATTAAGTTATTATAAATAATACATTATTACTAATACTGGGGGGTTAATTTATTTTCTACGGCTTAACAATCCATTGCAAATTATTTAAAGCTAGAAAATATTTCTAGATTGTCAGAAATTTTTTTTTTTTTTAGATAAAGATTTTAGTGATACAAGTCTTACTAATTAAACCATATATTGAGATTGGAGAGGTGCATTCATACCTTTCCCAAGGAAATTTGCATGTAAGTGAAGCCCAATGGGAATTGGAACACAGCCCTCCAGTTAACAATTCTGAGCCATTATCCATTACACTACTCAAACATACAAGCTTACAGCATCTGGTATTCCCAAACGGTCACACATCTAGACTAAAAATTGCTTAACTTCAGTGATCATAAGCCGTGTGTGTGTGTGTGTGTGTATATATGTGTGTGATATATGTATATATCCCATATAGTGCTGGTGTTAATAAAACTGTGCTCGATGTAACAAATTATATATATAATGTAGACTAAGCATATATTAATAAATATACATATTATCTCCCAACAGTAGCATAACACAACACAATATTCAGATGCAGAGTAGAGACTGACCGTTACATAATTTAAATTTTAATAAAAATATCTGGTAAATGCAATTATGGAGATTACAGGTTTAATTTTTAAAAGAATAAATATAAATATACATATATATATTATATAAAATAAAATGGATTAAGTCCAACAATTATTTTAATATATTTTCCATTTATACATTATATTTATAGATATAATTAATTTAAGTAAATGTTCTGTTTTTTTAATTAAACAGTATTAATTACATTTACCGGTTTGAATGTTTGAGAAATTTTGTAGAAAATATGTTCTTCTCTGACAGGATTTAAACTAAGTATCTCCACTATTTCGGCATAAATTTTCTATATTTAAGTTTAAAATGAATTTTTTACAAAGAAAAAACATTCTTGAAGATTTTATTTTAGCTTTAAAAAAGTTTAATCATTAAATTTATGATTTCCATTAATTAAACAATTCTGGTGTATTTCAGATAGAAACTATATACATTTGATTGTCAAATTTAAATTTTTTAATTTTCTTAAAATCGGCCATTTTCTTAATTTTAAGAAATTTGTAAACAAACACAA